TATAATATATTATATAACAATATAATATATTATATAACAAATAACATAATTTTTTAGATAATTGTCACCTTCAAACGTTTTAGTTATGTATGTAAAGGCATAAATTACCCTATTTCAGCTATAGAATTTGCATTGAAATTATTATTCATTACTTCTTTACTTTGGTTGAAAGAAATTACTGTGAAGTCTTACCCTGTAGAACTCTGGATGCCATTGACACTAGTACAAGAGTGAACACAATTACTTGTTGTTAGGCTTGAGTGTTGTTGGTTACGTTGTGTTTCCTGTTTCAGTCCTGAAGTCTTTTCTTTTTAGCTTTTAGGGTTTGCGGATATTTAGTGTTCCGGGGTTTACAATACAGTTTAAAAAGGGAAACCTGGACGTCAGCAAACTTATACTTTCAACGTGAATGTTGAAAAACAATTGTACAACGTTTCATCACTCAGGTGTCAGAACAAAAGTGAACCCTACAAAAAAGGCCAGTGTCGCCTTTTTAGGGCTGTTCGAAATACCGGAAACACAACATTTTTGCTAGGCCTTATAGTTGTTTATATTTGCCAGGCTCGAGCAGCCTTCGTGCAGAAGATTGGCCGTATGGGGAAGCCTGAGGAGATCGCAGCCCTGGCCGTGTACCTCGCATCAGATGAGGTAAGGATACTGTCAGGTGTAACAATTTTCTAATTATAAGGTCATGTTTGTTTGATTATATGGATGACATTTACGCGCGCATGAATTTTCGGCCGTTTCCAAGTGAAGTTTTCGTCCATACTGTAAATTGTACGAAACAGTTGCAAAATAAGCAAATATATACCGTAGGTTAACACATTGGAGAACAATGCCAATATCGTAGCTATATATAGAATGCCAAAATCAAGCGGGAAAAACGAAAGAAATGAAATTGAAGACTAGATTATTCACCAAACCATACTCTGCGTCATTTGTTCAACCTTCAAAACTACGTAGATTTTACAATGAAGCCAAACTTTTTTATTCACACACTCGCATCAGTTTTGGTGTTCCTAGAGGATGTCATCCATATAATCAAATCAACATGGCCTAATGAACTATTTTGTTCATAGCACTTTAAACACAATAGTCCTCATCAGATGGCTGTCAATTCTTGATGATATTTCCTGTATTAAATTACTTAGAACTTAGGCATGGACTAATCTCCAAGCAGATCGTTTGGTGGGTGCAAGACATTATCAAATTACCAAGACAATTAATCTTTCATTTTCCTGGTATTGATATTCCAATGGGCTACCCGAAGTTTGCCTGGTAAAGATACTAGTGAGAGCCAGATACAACTGGTAACCATCGTCATCATCATCATCTGGCGGCTGCGTTAGAGCAGACGACTGTGAGTTCTCTACAGTTAGTCCTGTTCTGAGCGATGTCAGCAATCCGCTTCGGGGAAAGTTCCGAGTTAACTGGTAACCAATTATTTAAAAAAAAAAGCTAAAGTGTAAAACTTGGAGAGTAGGCATGAACAATTAATAAGGCATTCGTCGTGTTATCATGAAGGAAAAGTTAGATACCGGTAGAATCGCTCGTCTTGCCATAAATATTCAACATCCTTTTCTGTGTGTTTTTTTTTTCAGTCTGGATACACCACAGGCCAGGAACTTGTGATCGACGGAGGCTGGGGCCTAGCCTAATAAACAAGCAGACCCAGATGTACCTGAACTACTAAATGTTGTTCTTGGATAGCCCTAATATTGTAGTACCTCTACAATATCTTCCTGTGTTTCTCTCGTTCTCAATTACACATGCAACAAACTTAAATAACCCTATCATGTATTGCAACTCATTTATAGAATTTCCTCATGAATTGCCCTGAGGAAGGTGACATATGCTAATAGAAACATCCGCTAAATAAACCTCTCGGTTGTGCAAGAAGAGTCTCTTTTTTCAATAACGTACGAACCTGATGAAACTATTCTTGTATGTAAGACTCGAACGACTTGCTGGAAAATGGTGAATTTGGCAAAATAATTTTTCTGGGAAGTTAGCCTCTTCTGACAATTCATGGCAATTAGTAAGAAGAGATAACGCCCCTATATACTATACCATTAATTACCAGAGGGAGGTTCACGACCACTCAATAAGTTTAAAAAAACAGCCTCAAAAACATGACGCATAAGGTAATCAGAAATGTTTTGTTAAGTTTAACTATCCTTTTCCCTGGACCGAAAACTTTCCTCCCTACCCCATGGATACCATGGGCTAAAAGGGTACTGATGAAATTCTTGGTAGAAATAAACGTCAGTAAAGTCGTGGGGCGTAATGGCAGAATGCTCGACTCGGAACCAAGAGGTCCTGGGTTCGAGTCCTGACATGCAACTGATTTGTGCCCTTGGGAAAGACACTTAACGCGACTATCTTATTTTACATAACTCATGTAAAAATGAGTATTGTCTGTCCTGTATTTGTGTCTATGTGTGGGACACAACACCTGCAACAACTGTCTTTGTCCCACGAGTATTGTATTATTGCAATGTCAACAAATCAAATCAAAGGCTGGGAAAACATCTTCCGTCCAAACCATTCCCCTTTAAACAGACCATGTGTCATTCATCTGAGCACGTCGGCCATCTGGGCACGTACTCCAACTG